AGTATTTGTCAGGCCTTCTGCACCTCAACAGGTACTGGGTTTACGTTGTAAGCTGCTGGGGTGATTTGTAGGAGTCCATGAAAGTGTTTTTTCTTTCCCACCTGTTCTGCCTTCATATGATTAGTGTCTTATCAAAACTAGCCCCCAAAAGCCACAGATGAAAGACAAGCCAGTTCTCAGTTGCTAAGTATCAGCTTCAGGTCCTGCTGGATCCAGGCGCTTAAAGTGATGTCACAGGAATGTTTCTCTACCCTGGCACCCCTGGCCTCTCCCAGAGCCTCTACCCATGAAGTAGCTTGCATCACATCCCTGGGTAGCCCAGTGAAGAAGAGCCGCTTCTGCCTAAGGTGAACTGACCAGGGTTGGGTGATGGCCTGGGTCTGGAGCTGGGGTGGAGTCTGGGCCTCATAGTACTGGAGAGAAAACATCTCCCAGGGAGACGCTGCGTGCCATGACTGGTGGAGGGAGAAACATGCTGGTTAGCAAGCATGCTCGGTGCTCAGCATGGCCATTAGAGAGGAAGAAGTCAGGGCAGGGGAGGAAGGTCAGAGTGAGCCCATGAATGTGGGTGACAGGCAGCTGCTGTCTCGGGGTGGACAGCCACCCCCGCTTCCCTGTAGTCTGTGTGGCTGATGGGTTCAGTGCGGTGGGCCAGTGACAGGGCGGGGACGAGCTGCTCGTGGGCCTGACTCCGGCTCACAGGCCGTCTCCGCATGCCCTGGTGGCTTCTGCCCAGCGTCCGGAGGGCTGTCCTCTCCCTGAGCAGCCGCTCTCTGTCCTCACCTCCTGTTCCCAGCCAGGCTCCTGGAAGCTGCCCTTCCCCCCTCCCCTCGCACTTGCTTCTCCCCTGGGGACCTGCACCTTCCTCCCTTTCCCTCCCTTCCCGGGGACAATGACATTGACCAGGTCACCCACAGTCCCCAAGTGCAGGCAGCCATGGTCCGCCCCCACGCCTGCAGGCGCCCCACGCTGCCTCTTCTCTCTGCTTGTCTAACCCACTCTGTTCATAGTGCTCCTTGGTAAACACTGTCCCCACCCACCTCTCCCCTGCCGCCCACACTGCCCGGGCCCCAGACTCACCTCTGCCAGCGTGTGTGACATTGACCGTATTTCTCTGTTTTCTGTCTCCCTGCCAAACTGAGCTTCCTGACAGCGGGAGCTGTTGGTCTCCGGCCCTGCCAGGAGACCCTCAAGAGAGGGTGAGGGGCTGGCAGGGGTGCTGCTTCTGTGCCATATGTGTCCGCAGCTTGTACTTCTGAGACTCCCTCCCTCTGTCCTTCCCCCTCCTCCTTCCCCATCCCCTTCCTTCTCTGCCCCTTCATTCCCTTCCCTGTCCCTTCCCTTCCTCCCTCCCCGCTTACCTTCCCTTCCACCCCCTCCCTCTCTTCCATCCCCCTTCCTTCTCTTCTCCCTCCCACTTCCCTTCTCCCTTCCCTCTTCCCCTTCCCTCCCCTTCCCCTCTCCTCCCTTTCCCTTCCCTTACCTTTTTGCAGTAATAGGCACTGAACTTAGGGCCTCAGGCATGCTTTACGAGCATTCAACTGATGGAGACCACTGTGAAGCAGGTCTGAGCAGGACTTAATATTAACCAATGGGCTTTTCATGTTTACCTGTGAGTTTGCCCCAGGCCTGGGCCCTTGTCCAGAGGTGGGCAGTGGACTCATAGTAAGTGAACCTCCTTGAGTCATTGGTCCCTGCTGGGGCCTGTATTGGCCTGTGAAGTTGGGATGCCTCAAAGGATGAGATAAGGCCACAGCTGAGGACTTTTGGCTTCAACCCCAATTAACTAAAAGGAGGCTGTAGCTACAGGCATCTCACTCCTGCAGTGAAGGCCTCCCTGGAGATAGCATAGTTCTCCTAAATTAACATAAAGTATTACTTGGAGAAGTCCTTGAAGGGATTCCCAAGTCCTGCCTGGATTCCTGCATTCTCTTCAGTATCCCCCTCCATTGTTCAAAAATCAAATAAATACAGACTGCCCAGGGAAGTTCTTTGTCTTAACCCAGAGACTCTTGAATTCTGTGAGAGGGTTGAACCCTCCTGGAGTCCTAAAACCATTTCAGTTGTCTCATTTATTTAATCCTTGGCTGTCCGCTTGTTTGGGAGATTGTGGGCCTGCTCAGCCCGCAATAACTAAGGGTTATTAACCCGATATTTGACCACTGAGCTATATCCCCTGGCCGTTTTATTTTTTGATTTGATACAAGGTATTGCCAACTTGCCCAGCTTGGACTTGCACTTGCCATCCTCCTGCCTCAGCCTCCTGAGTCACTGGCATTGCAGGCATACACCACCACTCCCAGCCTGCATGTTTTCTTAGAGGACTCTGTGCCCTCTTTTTCCCTGTCTGCTACTTCTCACCAGCCTGCACTGATCCCTCAAACCTGTGTACATGTGCATATGTACATTAAACAATTTTCCGGATTTACAGAGAAGTTGAAAGACAGTGACAATCCCTACAGTCTTCACCTGGACTTGCCAAGAGCTCACACAAACAAATGTATCTTAGGTGCTTCACTCACTGGAAGCTTTGGAGATCAGTGAGGCTAGGTACTTGTTTAAGGATATACAGAACATGAAACCTGTAGCCATGAGAACCTGGAATTTGTTCTCTTTGAAAATAGGTCTTAGATTTGCACGTTTCAGCGATGTCATAAAAGTCTAGACTGATGCTATAACTGGAAAAGCATGGGAATTAAAAGTTGCCAGAGCAGTAAGTGCATTAGGCTTGGTCTAGGAGGTTCCAGTCTCCACTTCTACAATTTAATAGCTGTGTGTCTTTTGGCAAGTGACTTAATCTCTCTGTGCCTCCATTTATTCATCCGAATGGGGAAAGTAATCCAGAGGGTTACTGGGAAGATTAAATAGGTAATAGTATATGGAAAAGCTAAACCAGAAAATGTGTTCCTTGCAAAGTGGTTTGCAGGTGATGATGTTGAAAGAGAAAAACAAGAAATTGTGAGACTCCCACATTCTCACCTCTTAAGTAGGCAGGAAATTTCGGTTGTGGGTAGAATTTCTTGAAGGGAAACAGATTCAGTTCCAAGTGGTAGAGCATTCTCTTTCCTAAGCCTTCCCTGGAGTCCTGTAATCCTTAACCACTCACCGTCCACAGCCACCCCGGAGAGAAACCCCAGCCGGAAGTCTCTGTACTGGAAAACAGGCCTGCCCATTTCTCTTGGAAGCTCGTACGATGGAGGAGCCCTGAGCTCGCATCTCCTCTATGTTTGCCGAGCCCAGGGCATTCTGGAGATGAGGCTCCAAGGCTAATGCCCGCCTAGCTTCCCTCCTAAATACCAGAATATGTTCCAGTGAATTGCAGGGTATCCTTCCTACATAACAATGACAAGAAAACAACAGAATCTCACTGCAGGTGTCCCCCTTAAGAAATTGTAAAACTTCAATCCAAATGAGAAGGTGAGCGAAAACCCATTCCCTGCTTATGGCCACTTGGCACACGTGGGCTGCGTGTCTGTCTGGGCTTTGTCCTAAGCAGACATATAAGCAAGCAAATCCGGGAACCCAAAGCCCGCTGAGCTGGAGTGTGAGAGTGACCAACTGCCGTAACCAGCCCCCACTTTACCCCCTTAAGCAGCGGCTGAGCATTACTGCCACATCTATAAGCAACTGGGGTCTCCAAGCATAAATATTTAACGGAACAACAACTGATTCTGGAAGGAACATCCATTTTATCAGTGGAGGAGCGTCAGTCCCTTAGGAGAGGTTGGCGTTAGGCTGCCCTATTTCCAAAGCCCCAGGTAGGGAATAGTAAAATAAATGGATGATTTCATTTTTTTTATGTCTGAATAACATTCCATTGTGTATACATACATCACATTTTTATTATTCCTTCATCCTTTGATTGGTACCAAAGCTGATTCCATCATAGGGGTTGTGAAGAATGTCACAGTATATGTGGACATGCAGATATCTCACTGGCATGCTGACTTCATGTCCTTTGGATACATATCCAGAGGCGGAATGGCTAGATCTTATGGTTGATCTTTTGTAGTCTTTTGAGGCACCTCCACACTATTTCCCATAATGACTGTACAGATTTGTATTCCCACCAACAGTGGATAACACACATCTTTGCCAGCATTTGTCACTTTTTGTTTTTTTGACAATGGCCATTCTTACTGGGGTGAGATTATTCTCATTTGTGGTTTTGATTTGCATTTCCCTGGTGTCTGATCCTACTGAGCATCATTTCATATATTTATTGGCCATTTGTATTTCTTCTTTTGAGAAGTGTCTGTTCAGATTGTTTACGCGTTTTTTTTGCCTGTCCTTTGCAGCAAAGTGGATGGAACTGGAGGACATTAAATTAAGTGCAATAAACCAGACAGAGAGAGACAAGTCATGTTCTCTTTCATATGTAGACATGTTAAGAAAAAACACTGACTTGATGAAGAATAGTGATTTCTAGAGATTGGGGAGCATGGCAGGAGATGAGGAGGAGAAGCTTCCTTTGATCAGTATCCGCTGTACGCGTGTATCGAAATATCACCCAGAGCCCAAATAAAATGTGCAATGAATACATGTCACATTTTAAAAAAATTTTAAATGAATGGATGAATTTTGCTAACATGGCAAAACCTGTCTGATAGCTTTAGACATATTAAAACAGAATTAATTTACCGGACAGAAAACCCCTCTACTTGGGTAAGTTGAGCGCGGTGTGACTGGGCTGTGGTTAACTCCATGCTTCCCTGACTTTCCCACCAGCACTGTTTGAGCTGGTTTGGAGACAAGCAGCCAGTTAGAAAGTGCGGCCATCCATCCCAGCAGCTGTCTCTCCTGTGAGCCCAGAGCCCTTTGCTCCCCGTAAACTGGGCTTCTGTTCTCAGTGCATAGAGAGCTCTCCCTCACTATAGAGCCCACTCCTTCCCTCAAGGAGGAGAGACCTCTGGCCCTTTCAGGGCACCCAGATTCCCTTTATTGCCCGGCTGCCCCCCGTCCTCACCCTGTCACTTCTTAGTGTTCAATTTCCTTGCCAGCTCTCAAAGACTCCAGTAAGAGATCCATCAACAGCGACTGGAAGATAGAGCTCCCGGGAGAGTTTCAGATCGCAGGCACAACTGTCCGCTACGTGAGAAGGGGGCTGTGGGAGAAGATTTCCGCCAAGGGACCAACCAAAACACCCCTGCATCTGATGGTAACTTACTGGGCTCGGGCACTGGTTTGCTTCTTCCGGGGACCCTGGACGCAGGAGATATGCTAGATCCACAAGGCTTCCTGATGTTCATACTATTTCCTCCCTCTACTTATCTAATCCCTCCTACCCCAGTACTTCAGACTTCTCTCAGAACCCGCCTCCCGGCTCTGCACTTGAGGAGCTCCTATCTTCTTCAAAGGGAGCTGTCTCCGAGAAGGGAATGTTCAGCCACACCAGTGACAGCCAAGCAGAGCTGGCGTCATTGAGCAGCCTGCTCTACTCAAAGTCTGTTTTTGTATCAGCTGCTGCAGGGCATCTTTCTGCCCCACAGTAAAAAGCCATCTTTTAGGAAAGGACTGTTGGCTTGGAGGCTAGACCAGCACCACACAGATTTGCCAGACTCAGCTTATGAGAAGCATGTGGGAATCAGGAAGGAGAATCAGGCGGTATGGTGTATTTACTTCCCAGGTGATCTCCAGAAAATTGTGTAGTTGGGCCTGGCTCAGGTTTCCTGGAGAACTCAATACAGGTCACTAAGCCGTTGGCTCTCTATCCTTTTTAAACATAAGAAAGACCTCCAGGGCAAGTCATTCCACTGTTTCGTTCTCAGGCTCCAAGAGTTCTCCTGGCCAACCTCTGATTGCTCTTAATTATTGATAATTACTGATTTCCTGTCTCCTTCTAAGGAACGGAATTTATGGCAGCTCATGCACCTGTCATCAAAGCACACTTTGTTCTCAGTTCCTGCCAGAGTCTCTACTTACAAGTTCTTTTGCCCCTTAATTTGTGATCCCTGGCAACCTGCAGCTGTTCAAGGTTAGGTGACACCTAAAGGATTTCCTGACCGCAGCCCGGGGAGCCTGCTGGAGCCCTGCCCATGACCACCAGCACCCAGTACAAGTGTTGCCCCATGATAGTGTTAAGCCCGTTACAGTTTCTCGTGAGACAAAAGCCAGCCAATTTCCATGGAAATCCACCAGTGCAGTACTAAGCTCACTAAATCCAGTGCTATACTATTCCTGCAAGTAGATTTCCGGGATCCAAGAACCTATGTGAAAGGCTGAAATTGTTTCCTGGTCAAAGTCATTAGAAGCGGTCTTCCTACTCTAAGCCAAAAGCAGAGAGCTAGAAGGGCCAAGAAAGGAGGCAAAAGGCAAGGTAAATTGTGTACAGAAAACATCACCTCTCAGCATGTGAGTTTGCTTCCTCTAGCAAGCACCAAGATGAGTATGTTTCCCTTCTTTACTAAAATCTTTTGTAAACTGAGCAGGTTGTCAGCCCACTGAAACAAATAGCCAGCCTTGAGTCATCCAGGACGTGATAAACAAATCTCAGAGTAAGGCAAGTCTTGCATGGCTGAAGTTTCAGCCCTTGTTTAATATTAATCATTTTTCTCCCTTGAAACATGATTGTCACGTCACGTTTTTAAACCTAGAAACCAGGAGTGCCCCTTTGCTTCTGTGTACAAAGCCATCGTCCCCAAAGTGGTGTACATGTTGGTCACAGAATGAGGAGCAGCAGGAGTCCTGGGGACCTGCATTTGAAACCAATTACATACATGCACACGCAAATTATACGTGGCTACAAAACTGCATAAAATTGGTTTCATATGGATTCTCCATCCACCAGTCTTATTCCCACTCTGAAATAATAAAGATCTCTCTTTAAAGATTTTTTTTTTTTAACTTTAAGGCACTTTTCCAAATGCATTAGTGCAAGTCTGTTAAAGAAGATGTTTATGTAGTTGGGTCTGCTTCTAGCACTTCTGCTCCCACCCCACAGTTCAGCATTGGAGGCCCTCGTAGGGAGGGTGGGGAGATGGCTCCTGTTGTCTGGCGTACTTTTGACCTGGCCTGCCCACGTCTAGATAGGCAGGCTGTGTGCTGCGCCTCTCCTGGGCCCTGTGGCTGGAAGTGTACTTGCTAGCTGCTGAGCCCAGAGCACTTACTGGCCTCAAGCTTAGCCTGAAGACACATCATCCACTGCCAGGCCACTTTATTCTCCTGTGGGAGGGCGTGCTGTACCCCATAAGGTCTAGGGAAATAAAGCCAGTGGTGTACCTTGTGGCCCTGCAAGGCCTGACACACCAATCCCAGACCGTACAGCCTCCTGGATTCTGCACACTCACCGGGCCTGCACAAGCCACAGGACGCCTCCCATGAAATACGATAGAACTGTGCCAAGAATATAGCTCAGCAACACAGCGCCTGCCTGGCAAACGCAAGGTCCTGAGTTCAATTCCCAGTACTAAAAAAAAAAAAAAAAAAGGAATATCATAGAACCCTCTCTCTGCAGCTTTACCCTACTGAGCATTAAGGGCTGACTCCCATGGCAATGGAAAGGCTCTCGCTTCCTTGGACTTCCAATCAGATGTTCCCCAAAAATCCCTTTTGTGGGTTGTATTTTGCCATTGAACCTGACTGCACCAATCAACATAGCAATGACTGGTGTTGGGGAAGTGAGCAGAGCGACCCTACTTGCTGTCTAGGTAAAAGTGGTACATTTGTGTCTTCCATGGCTGCAAGTGCAGCTTCTTCCACATGTGGAAATGTGCACTTTCTTCCACATGGAGCAACTGTCCTTGAAAAGTGCCACCAAGGGCCCACACAGGTGCTGCACCCCAAACTGCCCATCTGAACTGGTCCTCTGGGGTAGGAAAGAAGGGAACTCCCGGATGACAGTATGCATTCTTGTCATACCCTAGCTGGATACCTGAGCACTCCACAACTGAGATAAAAGAGCACCCCTCGATTGAACCTGTTTCGCACCCCCAGAAAAGAGCTGATTCTTCCTAGAAAAACGGCTACAATGTGACTTGGTTTGCACAGTTAGCAACTTTGTGGGATTTTGGTCCCCCTCAATGTGGCCTTCTAATTTTCCATTGATCCAGGTGCTGTTATTTCACGACCAGAATTATGGGATTCATTATGAATACACCATTCCTGTGAACTTCACTGCTGAAAATCAAAGTGAACCCGCCAAGCCACAGGATGCCTTGTTCCTCTGGACCCACAGTGGCTGGGAAGGGTGTAGTGTGCAGTGTGGAGGAGGTGAGCTGCCCAGTGGTGGGCCAGTGGGTGTGTGGATTTGCTGAAGAAAGAAGCGGGGGGGGCTCGGGGCCTCTGTGGTCATGCACAGAGTATGGGGAGTTTGTAACCTGTAGTTCCATGAGAACTTAGCCACATCCCAAGGAAAGTCTCTGCAGAACGTGCAGACAGGGCCTTCCATGAATGATTTCCCCAACCTCAGCAGATGACTTATCCTTTCTACGGCTGATTTCCTCACCTCTGAAATAGGAGTTCATCCTTTGTGTCATGTCCTAGAGATTGTAGGATGAGCCAAAGAGCCCATCATGCTGCAAGAATCAGTGCAAGTTATGGGTATCCTTACTGAGTTGGCAAGGTACAATAGAAAACCTCTGTAAACTCTCAGCCCCGTGGAACATTGTAGTCTGATGGACATAGCTTTAGGATGAAAGGTTAATCAGGACTTTGGATGCCTACTGAGACTGGGGATTGGTGGGGTGAACCCAGACAACTCCACCTACCCCCAGTCCTGAGCAGCTGTTGACTGCTGAGATGCACTTGTCAGACATCTGATGTTAATGATAGTTGGCCACTTAAGTGACTCATCCCTGTTTTCATAGGAAGGAGATACAGCCATGGCATGACTGAGCCCATCAGACATGCCGAGGTCAACTGTGAATTCTTCCATGCACCTTGGCTAACTGCCCTCGCTATTGGCTTGTGGTCTTCTCCTCCAGTAGCCTCTTGGCAGTTGGCATCATTTCCATGGTCCACCATTAGCCCTGTCGTCAGCCCACTCTGTACCTCTTTCTGACATGCTCCCTTTAGTCTTTTACTCTTGAACCTATGGCACACGAGCTGCGGCAGGCTATTTGTTATCATTGAACGCTTTAAAAGGTTCACTGTCATGGCCCTGCCCCTCTGTGCTCATGACCTTCCAACCTCTAAGTCCAGCAGCCAACACTGATGCCTGTGACTGCAACCAGACTGTCCTCCCCGGCACCATGCTGCCGACTAAGCACAGTTAGCAGCCTCTATCTGATTGGGAGATCTGTCCTGCCCTGTCACTGGGGGCATAGCGATAGTTCTTCATGACATGGGTGATTTCCGGCTCCCTACAGTCGGAAGAACTGGTACCAGAGCTGAATGCTGGCTTGCGATGGCTCTGTGTTTTCAAGGATACAGCTGACCTGGGGTGCTGCTGCTCCATACTTGTACAAGGCTGCAGTTATGAGCAGTAGGAACTGACAGTGTGGCTCAGGACTCCATAATTTTGAGCCATCTCTCCATGACAGATTCCCCAGAAGACAGAGCCTGCAAAGACTAGATCCAAATAATTGTGCTTCTCAAATAATAATGATGATAGTAATATGGTAATACAAAGTGTTAACTGCCTGCCATGTTCTGTTTTAGGCTCCTTATATGTGTTAATTAATTTTAACAATATTGAAAAGCCCTAAGACATAGGAAGGTTCAATAAAGCAGCCCACCTGAAGAAACTGAGACCCAGAAGCATGGTAGTGAGCTCTTGATGCTGTGGTCATTGTAATACTATTAGTGACAGAGGCCACACTTAACCCAGATGGCCTGGCTCCAGTGGCCACCCTCCTAACTGTCAGTCATTCAGCCTCCCTGACAAAGTCATGGCCACATGGCCACACGGTGTTCAGCATGCTTTGGCAAGCCATAGAAAAGGCTCTACCAGATAGAATGAATAATAAGATAATGAATTTGCACAGCTGCCCATGAGCATTGATGCTTCATATCAGCTGGCTAAGTGGACAGGTTCAGGTCAACCCCGGAGGGCCTGCTGGGGGCGTGCAGGTCTGTGCATCCTTCATACCAGCTGTTCTGTTCCTCACTTCTCCCTAGCAAGCAGCAATCCTCTAATAGGTAGTCATACTCTATGATGAGGTAGATGTACAGGTATTTAATTGAGACCAGATCGCCAAAGACCTTAAACGTCAAATGAACAGATCAAACGATTGGCAGTCATTGATAGAAATGAAAGACCCAAGTCAGAACTTTGGCCTTGATGAATCCCACACTGTCCAAGGACACAGCTGATGTGAGGTGTTGCTGCTTTTTCATCTTGTAGAGTTTCTCCTACCCCGAGCTGTCTCAGCATGTTGTACACAGTTCTCTCTCTGCACACTGGTCAGTCGTTGCTCCTGAACGCTCCTCCATAAGTGTGAAGCAATGGCCTTTCCAGGTGTGTGCAGCCACCGTCTCTCAGCTCCCTGTGGTTGGTTTCCAGGGGAACGCAGAACCATCGTGTCATGCACACGGATCGTTAACAAAACCACAACTCTGGTGAATGACAGTGACTGTCCTCAAACAAGCCGCCCTGAGCCCCAGGTCCGAAGGTGCAACTCACACCCATGCCAGTCACGGTAAGGATCCACCAGGTCTGGGGCAGTGGCGCCATGATTGGGGGTGGTCGGGGTGGTACCCAGTTAATACTGCAGCACTGTTCTCTGTCATGTTCTGCTACTATTGCTGAGTAATTCTCCTTGCTCAAAATAGTCATGTCATTGTGACGGGGACACAGTGTGAGATGTGCATCATTAGATAATTGTGTCATTGTGCAAAATCAGTGTGTGTAGTTACACAACCCTAGATGGTGTGAACAAAAGACACAATAAATACTTAAATTTTAAGAATATATTACAGGCTGGGGATATAGCTCAGTGGCATAAGCACCTGCCTGGCAAGCACAAGGTCCTGAGTTCCATTCCAGTACAAATACATACATACATACATAATATATTACAGTGCAAAGCGTATTACCATTAATTCCCTTCTGAATACTCCCTGTTGCTTCAAAGACACATATCCCACCATTCTTGCCACTTTCTGAAGCAGTTCTGGAATAGCTCTTTCGTGAATGACCTTAGTTGCTACCTCAGTGTTCTGAATCAATTCAGAACATCTATCTTTCATGGTATTTTGACTTTCGGGTAGAGCCAGAAGTCACACAGTGCCAGATCTGGTGCATGAGGGGAGTGAGGACACTGTTCTTTTCTTAGGAGCCTGCCTTTCCATTGGGTGGCACTCTGCAGTAGTGTTCATCATATTTTTGATCACAACTCATAAGGACATCCCAAAAGAGGACTTCTGGAGCTGTTTCCACAATTGGCAAGAGTGGTCATGTGTGTTCATAAGGGGAGGGAATATTTTGAGGAGGATTAATGATAATGTAGTACTTTTTACTATACTTTAACTGTAGTAATTTTAAAATTTATTTTTAAAATGTATTTTTTGATCGCCCCGTGTACCTACATGGTATAGCCTATTACTCCTGGGCCTTGATGAACCGTACAACCCAAGATTAAATCAAGCAGAAGAGAAAATTATACAGTCAGGGGATGCAGTAAACAGGAGATGTGTGGGGCTGCTGCTGGTGTAGTAGGATATACTACTTTACCAGAAACATTTTTATAAGTACAAAGAATATACCTGTAAAATAACAACAAATATAGCATGGAAAATACATAAACCAATAACACAGTCATTTGTTATCTTTTCAAGTCCTGTGTGCTGCATGTAATTGTATGTACTGTGCTTTTCTACACCTGGTAGCGCAGTAGGGTTGTTTACGCCAGCATCATACACACGCATGACTAATGTGCTGCACTATGACATTAGAGTGGCTACAGTGTCACTGGGTGATAGGTTTTTTAGCTCCATTATAATCTTATGGACCACTGCTGTACATGTGGTTCATCAATGACCAAAACATCTTTATGTGGCACATGGCTGTATGAAATTTCTGCCTACTAAGCCAGAAATCTGATGGAAATACACAATCATAGCTGCAACGCAGGCTGTAGGTGACATTTCATGACATCTCACAGAGAAAAAAGTAGCCATTTTTATCCATTTTTGGCTGGTACCCATCATTCCCCTGTACACTGGAGGAGAAGGAAATAATGTTTGAGACTGAGGGGCCAGGTGTAAGTGTGCCCAAGTGTTGATATCTGGTTGATCTGGCCCTGTGGCTGAAAGGAGTGCAGCTCTCGGTATTTATTGTTTAGAATGCATCTGAACTTCTGGCCCCAGATACCATGACCACGTTACTCATGTGCTCCTGAGTGAACTCCTGGGTTTTCAACTGAGGTGACTGGGTGAAAGGTGTTCATCAGTCCCACCTCCCTCCCTCTGGTCATTCCAGTGGGCCTGTGCGTGATACCTCTGCTATGTGGTATGATGTCACCCACTGGCCTCCCATTTGCCATGAGTTGAGGTAAATGGTTTCTGTTTTGTGATTCTGTGTGTCGTGTTTAGGCTGGCCTTTCATGTGGAAGTGTTTAGGTTCCTTAAGCTCAACTTGCACCACTCACCTGATGCAAGAGTTGCACAAAGTGTTTGACTTTTGCACCAATCCTCCATGCTTTGTCAAATGAGAGAAGGTAAGAAGGAGAGCAAAAAAGTAAGACTTACATTGATTTTTATATGCTCCGTGGAAGGTTGAGAATGAAGGGGTGCTTAATGCTGAAGGCCTTATGGGGGAGCTCCCTGGGGAAGGTGTTCTTGAGCATCTTGGGTCTGAGCAGCCACCTCTCAAACTTACCAGTCAGCGAAACAGTCACACCCAACAAGCCAGAGGAGGAAGGTGCCTCGGCAGTCAGACAGGCCGCAGTGTCTCCTCCTGAAACCAAGGGTGGCCAGGACCTTGTGAAGTGAGTGGACAGTAGTTAAGGGACCTGTGAGGAGAAGTTGCCTGGGCTCAATAGCATGGCAGAGCAAAAATGCCTTAGGGAGCCATTCAGGAATTAAATTTTTTAATCAGTTATGTTCTCAAACTATTTTAATATCCATACCTTTCTAAAATTACAGGCAGAAAGCAAATAAAATAAAATGTGGAATGACAGTACTGTGGCTGACATGAGACACATCAATAATGAGGCCAGTACTCTGTTTCCCTCCTCTTGCAGGAGGAGCACCGCACCCTGGCGGAGCTCTAAGGAGTGACGCTTACAAGCTGTCAGTCAAGGGTTTCCCTTCCTGTAATGATGGAGTAGCTTGCGTGGGAACAGCCCTTCTGTAGATAACAGTGAGAACTCTGGAGAAAATATGAAGAGCAACTATCGAAGAGCTAGACAGGAGCCTGGCAGGGTGGCAAATGCCTGTAATCCCAGCACTGTGTGAGGCTGAGGCAGAAAGATTGCAAGTGTGAACCCAGCATGAACAACTTAGCAATGTAGTGAAACCCTGTCTCAAAATAAAAAAGGTCAGGGGATGTAATTTGTAATTTGGCGTGAAGACCCTAGGTGCAGTCCCCAGCACCTGAGTACACACACACACACACACACACACACACACACACACACACTTACAGAGCAGCCAGAAAACAGAGAAGTAGATGAATGGGAGAACAGAATGGCACTGAATGAATTTCCCGCGTTGACAGCTTATTGATTAAATGAGGTCCTCACTGGATCTGAGAGGTGGATAAACTGATAGATATTTGCCTGCTTGTCTTAGTTACTTTTCTCTCATTTCTGAGGCAAAATACCTGACACCCCAAGTTAAAGGGGAAAAGATTTATTTAACTCACATTTTGTAGGAGTTTCAGTCCATAATCAGCTGGCTCCAGGGCAGAGTGGCTCATAGCAGAGGGCAACAGTTCATGACAGTAGAAGACAGCAAAAGCAGTAGAGGGAGAGAAGGGACGAGCCTCTTCCTGTCCCTTATATTGTATCTACCCTACACGGATGAGAGTGAGTGGTGCCAATCCATTCAGTGGACTGATCCAGCAGCCACCCACCTTAATCCCAGTGTTGCGCTCCCAGTCACACACTAGATTCAGCCACCTCTGAAAAAACCCTATGCCCGCATGAGGCTGTGGGGGAACATCTAGACACAAACCATAATTTCTGTCTTTTACTAGTAGAGCTGTCAGAGGAGAATGTTCAGGGCATACATAGCAGCTGGAAATTGAGGAGAAAAAGAAATCACAAAAAAAGACCTACAGAGGAGGATTCCCAAATTCTACATATACTATATTTTTGCCTTTCTGGGCCACATATGGTTTCTGACATGTTTTATGTTCATTTTGTCATAACCTTCTAAAAATGTAAAAAGAAATCAAACTTAGCTCTGGAGTTGTATAAAAACAACTCTTGGCTGAACTTTGCCCATGAAGAATAGTTTTTGCCAATTAGATTACTGTTCACTGTTGCTTTGTCACTGAGACGTTGCGATCACACCGTCAGCAGGAGCCTGGGTGTTAAAGGTAGGCGCTCTGGGAATATGTTTTCTTCTTATACAAAGAAGAACCTATTGTCCTGAAGTTTCTTTTATTGCCTAATGGTCAGTCCTTAGCATCTAGCCTAGCACAAAAGCACATAGAATACCCGTAAACTCATCCACTCATCGTGGATTTCCTGAACACCTGCCCTTTACCAGGCACAGTTCTAGGGCCCAAGATATTTACAGGTGAGAAAGATGAACAAGGCCTCTGCACTCCTACAACTTGAGAAGCATGAGTTTCCCCCAACACACCACTCTACTTTCAGTGCCTTCCTGGCCCTGAAATCATGTGATGGAGACTTAGAGAATTTCCATAATTAGAGGAGGAAGTGAAGTTGTGAAAAGTCAAGAGAACACCTGGAATTTGCCTTAAAGCCTAGAAATAAAATGCCTGGATGTCTGCTCTAGGCTGGTTTTGTTTGTTGAATTTGAACCATCTGGTTCCTTTAGTGCTACTTGAGATAGTCATCTAAAACTGAATTGCCATAACTCATCAAAGAGTGTTTATTATTTGGCTAAAGAAATGTGATAATAAATTCGAAAACTCTTGCAAGTTAGACACACATACATGCACGCACACATTGAAACATATACATATAAGGAATATATATAATGTACAGCTCTTCCATCTATGTATAATATACATGCATATCTGGACAATAATATTTTGAATGGCGGTAGATCATGAACTGCTTATCATGAGCTTTCATAGGAACCTGAAGTTGTATAAGTGGACTCAAGCTAGTAAGTCCTGTAAATGGAAATGAAGAAGTTGGTCTCTTAAAACTGAGTGGTAGAAAAATGGAAGAAGATTTTCACACATAAGTAAAACTGCCCTGCATAGGGTGGGTGGAACTTGGAGATGAGAAGGGTCTGGAGAACAAATGTCTGTTTCAGATGGGGTGGGCATGATCAGAGAGCAGGGCCCAAGAACCTGAGGGTGTGAAGTTTATTTGAAAAGCCAAAATGCAACCCACTGTTGAACCTGGCAGAGTGAAAGAGCCTCTCTATATTATTGTTACTCTTTGACCTTTAAAACAACAGAGATGTTTGTCTTTTTCCCTCGTATTTTCCTTTATTTCTCCTGATCTCGCTTTAAGTTTTTCAACCCTCTTTTTCCATTGAGTTCCCGACAGTC